TGGATGCTTTTGAATTGTGGTGCTGGAGGAGACTCTTGAGAGTCCCCTGGACTGCAAAATGAACAAACCTATCTGTTCTGAAGGAAATCAACCCTGAGTGCTCACTGGAAGGACAGATCCTGAAGCTGAGGCTCCAATACTTTGGCCATATCATGAGAAGAGAAGGCTCCCTGGAAAAGCCCCTGATGTTGGGAAAGTGTTAGGGCAAGAGGAGAAGGGGATGACAGAGGACGAGATGGTTGGACAGTGTCATCGAAGCTACCAACATGAATTTGACCAAACCCCAGGAGGCAGTGGAAGACAGGAGGGCCTGGCGTGCTCTGGTCCATGGGGTCATGAAGAGTCGGACATGACTTAACGACTAAACAAGAACAACAAAGCTTTCTTTAAAGCCTACATAGTGTCTTAAATCATAATCAGCATTTGCACAGGGGCTGCAGAACATTTTTGGCGGATTCAGTGTTCACTAGAGATGGAGTGTTCTTATTCGTATATGAATATCCCTGCACAGGTGGTGTTAACGAGGGTCCAGGCCCATGGGGGCGGACGGTCCACTCACTGATCCACCGTGGATGGTGTGATTCTACCAATGGATCTGCAGTGCACAATCCGCTTGCCACTCTTCGACCTTGCAGCGAGGTTTGCCCTCCCGCCTCCTGCCAGGAGTGGTGAGCAGATCGTGCACTGCAGATTCATTGGTAGAATCATGCGGTCTGCATCCACGGTGGATCGGTGAGTGGACCGTCCAATCCCATGGGGCTGGACCCTCATTAATGCCACCTGTGCGGGGGTATTTGTATATGAATACCCCTGTCTCTTAATGTACACAGTGAACACATTGCAATTGGCATTCCAGCCCACAGCCCCCCCTTCTTTCTTTCCTTCATCCAGTCCTGCCTTTGGCTTTCCTTTTACGGTTTGTTCTAAAGCATCTTTGTTTACAAATACACGTTCCAAGGTATCCTCTTTCATTTTGTCTTGCTTGCTTCTCATCTGCTTCTGTATATATTGGATAATGGTGAACCAGCACCATTTTGCCCATTTCACCCAAAGATAAGGGTGTTACCCTAGCCAATTCACCCCGTTGCTATTATGATTCTTGTTGGTTTTTCAGGGCCTTTTGTAACCATCTGTAGCCATTTGCTTTCTGGAGAATTAGAATCCAGATTCTATCAACACTTATAGGAAGAAAACAAAGGCTGGGGGGAGCCCCACTTGACACGCTGACTGGCAGTTTCATCTACCCCTTTGGCACTGTTTCATTTACCTTTATCCTCACCTTAGCTCTGAGAACCTGTAGGTTAGATTCTTACAATGTGTTACACAATGTGCTGATCTTGAAAATTACAGGGCAGGAAGCAGATCCAGTGTTTATCAGAAGGGGCTAATCAATCTATTTCCTTTGAACTCAAGAACCTCCATGGCCACCAGTGTTTCTTTGCAAAATATAAACCAGGGTTGACAACCTGCGATGCTTGAACTATTGCTGGGATTCCTATTTCCATTATCCCTGTAAGCAGCTCTTTATACAGCTACTGGAATGATGTGGTCCAACATCTGGAATGTTGCAGGTGGACATCTCTGATTTTAAACTGTTTTTACTGTTTAAACCTTTAGTGGCTCAGATCCAAGGTGCCAGAAAGGCTAACTTCACCCATGTCAGCCTCCCTGCTCCTTAATACCTATTACCACGGCTGCTTTACAAAGATCAGAAACTTATTTCTATGTACTTCTAAACTTTCAGGCGCAATGGAGAACAAGGTACCTGTGCAGAACTTCTTCCCCATTTCTATCCCAAAGAGGAAAACAAGCTCCTGATAGTCTGACAGAGATGGCCCAAAATTAAAAATGTTTGCCAAGTTTGGGTAACATGCAGCTGGAGCATTAGATAACAGAACATTCCCCCTAAGGCAAAAGAGAGAGAGAGAGAGAGAGAGAGAGAGAGAGAGAGAGAGAGAGAGATGAAGACTTACAGAGGGAAAAGATCCTTTCAGAGTTCCGCATGGCCTTCTGTTGCTTCCATTGTCCAGGATCATTTGGTATCATCCACACACTTAGCTCCTCCGCTGCTTACTCATGCATCTAGCTAATCCTTGGGCAATACCTTTGCTTCCCACCATGATGAGAACCGCCCATTCAATCATACCTTTCTGTGCAATGGATGATCTGCTCAGCTTATGAAAGATTTTTGAAAGACTAAAGATCTGCCACTTTATGGATCCAAAGTCAAGGAGTCAGATTCAATAAATGCCAGTTTATGCAGACTGAACTGGAAGAATTGAGCTAATATGCCTGTAAATACTGGCTTTCCTCCCCAGCTCCTTTTTTTGCTTTGTTGTTATATTCGTTAACAAACCAAAATAGGGTTTTCAAGTTAATTGACGTATATGTGCCAAATGAAACGCAACAAATTTTTTATCAGCAATTGAAGTACCAGCTGATACAAAGGCCAGAACAGAAAATGATGGGAGATTTTAACGCAATAACTGATAAACAAAAAGATGCTTTGACGACAAATGGAAATGGAAGGAAAAGAACAAGAAATATTATTACCAAGGTGTTTTTGGAAATGGCAGAAGAATTAAACTTAATTGCTATATGGAGAACCAGGTATCCTCAGAGAAGAGATTACCGTATTTTTTTGCACCATAAGACGCACTTTTCCCCCACAAAACAGGGGGGTGGAAAGACTGTGTGTCTTACAGAGCGAAGAAAACAGATTATATTTTCCTGTTTTCTTCTCCTAAAAAATTGGTGCGTCTTATGGAAAGGTGCGTCTTATGGAGCGAAAAATACGGTATACATTTTACTCAAATAGACACAATTCATGGTCAAGAATCGATAACTGCTGGTTTTCAGTGGAAATGGCACATCAAGTGGAAGAAACTGAAATATTACCAAACACATATGCAGATCACAACCTAATATTGATGACATTAGGACAAGCGATAAGAGGATGTTGGAGATTAAATAGCCACTTATTGAGAGAGGAGACCTTTTTGACTAAAATTTAAAGAGAGCTAAAATTCTTCTTTCAAATTAATAAACCCCAGGAATACAGAGATGACAATGATATGGGATGCTGCCAAAGTCTATTTTCGTGGCTTCGCAATAGAAATCAGTGCACAAAAGAAAAAAGAAACAAACAATACCAAATTCTAATATCCCTAAAAAAAAGAAATGGAATTAAAGAAAAGACCTGCAGCTAAGTACGTAATAAACAAGATAAATATTTTACAACATAAAATTAATTTATTAAAACAAGATGAAATGAGGAAAAATTAAATTTGCAAGGCAAATTTTTTGAAAACACCAACAAACCAGGAAGATGGTTAGCATATAGAATAAAAAGAGAGAGAGAGAGAAAAAACCAAAGATTAATGGAATATTGGATAAGGAAGGAAAAGAAATACACAAACAAAGGAAATTGAAAAAGAAATTAAAAACTTTTATACCAATCTCCATAAAAAAAGTCTGAGCAGGAGAAATAATGGAATGATTTGAATAAACTTCCAGATTGGAGTTTCAGTTCTCAACAATTGGGAAAACTAAATAAACCAATTACGGTGAGTGGAATTGAAGAAGCATGGAAAAAGAGAAAAATGGGAAAGCCCCTGGACCAGATGGACTTCCAGCTGAATATTACAAAGCATTTGAAGAAATGTTAAGCCCACACTTTATGAAACTAATAGAAGACATTGAAATTAGAGGGGAAATCCCGGATTCATGGAAAAAGGCACATATCTCCTTAATACACAAAGAAGGGATGGGGAAAACTCAAATCAAGAATTACAGACCAATCTCTCTCCTGAATGTTGACTATGAGATATATGCAACCATCTGGACAACAAGACTAAAGGAGGTACTTGAAGAAACGATACACAAAAATTAAACAGGTTTCATCCCCAAAAGGAAACTATCATCAAATATAAGATCAATAATAAACATTTTGGAATATTATGAAATACATCCAGAAAAGCAAATGATGTTAATCTATTTAGATGCAGAAAAGCCCTTCAATAATGTCGATTGGGAGATTACAGTATACTGCTACAATTAAAGAAGATGGGTGCAGAAGGAACTTTTCTACAAACAGTTAAAGCAACATATACCAAACAGAAGGCCAAGATCAAAATCAATGGCCAAGTAACTGAAAATATTCAAATTGAACAAGGCACAAGGCAGGGCTGTCCACCCTCCCCTCTATTATTTATTCTAACATTAGAAATTCTAAACAGACAAATAAGAGAGAATGCTGAAATTAAGCATCTCAGAATCAGGGAAGAAGAATTTAAGCTGCAAGCATATGATGATGATCTAGCAAAAATACTGCAAAACCCTCTGGACAGTTATACTGCAAAACCCTCTGGACAGTTTGGAAGAATTAATGAGAACTATAGAAGAATTCGGAGCTGTTGCAGGTCTTAAAATAAACTATAAAAACCAAATTTATGACTTAAAACATAAGGAAAGAAGACGCGGAAAGGCTGGTAATGAAAAATAACTTCGAGGAGGTACAGAAAGTGAAATACTTAGGAGTTATTATTACAAAAATACCAAGTAATTTAATGAAAGAAAATTATCTTACAACAAAGAAGGAAATTCAGAAAGACTTGGGAAGAATGGAACAAGCTACAAACCTCTATGATGGCAGAATCTCAACAACAAAAATGATGATACTACCAAAACTGTTATTTTTGTTGTAAAATTTACCAATTTTATTAAATTATAAATACTTCAAGGATCTGTACAGCCTGACTTCGAAATTTGCATGGAAGGCCAAGAAACCAAGAATAAAACTTAGAATATTGCAATAAAAAGAAGGGTTTTTTTTCCGGACTACGGAACTGGCTATTATATTATAAGGCATGTGCTATGGTCTGGATAAATGAATGGATAACATTAGAAAAGCAAAGATCATTGAAATTGGAGGGTCATGATCTAAAAATGGGTTGCCTGCATATGTGTGGCATGGGAAATAAAAAGAACAATCACATTTTGCAGAACATATTCTAAGGAAGGCACTATGCTTAGTATGGCAAAAATTTCAAACACAAACGTACAAGAAAATTCCAGTATGGGTAGCTCCAATAGAAACATTCACTTTGAAAGTACTGAATCAGAAAGGAGTGTTACTCACATATAAAGATTTATTAACTACAGATCAGAATATAAAAGACAAACAAGATATAGAGAAACTGGGTCTAGCTACAGATTGGTGGTCAATGTTGAAATTAGAATCGAGATATAAAAAGGATAATATTATGGGCTTTTTTGAGGGGAAAGTCCAGGTGGATGAATTATGGATCTACACTAATGAGAAAATAATAAAAATATATATAAATTATTGGAATATGACTTGGAGGATGAGAGGGTGAAGGAGACGGTAAAATGGGCACAAAATTTTGGGTACAATATTGATATTGACGAATGGACAAAGATGTGGAAAGAGAATCATACATTGATTAAGCCAGTGAGTCTTAGAGAAAACATCCTTAAAATGTTTCATAGATGGCATTTTACCCCTGTAAGATTGGCAAATGGTAACAGTAGTGTTTGTTGGAAGTGTAAAAAAGCTACTGGACATTGTAGAACTAGACATGCTTTCAGAGGCACTATAGGATCAACCACTTTGTAAAGCAAAGCTGGAAGCTGATACATAATTGGGCCCAGAAAAAGACAGGAACTTGGGGGGGGGGGAGGAATTAGTCTATAGCGAACCAGTGCTCACTGGAATCCTCTTGAAGACATTTGAGGTCCAGATGACGGTGAAATGTCTGATCCACACAGGGGAAGGAAGGAAGTTTATTTGGTAGTTTTTCTTTTTGTCTGTTTGTTTCGTTAATTATGTTAGATTGTTAACGTTTTAAAGTTTGTATATTATTATAATAATAACAAAAGTTAATTGAGGTATTTAAGGACTGGTTTTACAAGTTTCACTCTCACCTCAGTAAGTTTCCATGGCAGAGCCAAGGAATTGAACCCATGTATCCTAGTCCTAGTCCATTATTCTGTCCACTACACTACACTACACTGAGTACCAATCCTTCTTACCAACCTAAACGTGTGTTTATTTCTCAGTTACATCTATATCTTACCCTCTCCTTCAGTAGGATATGGCTCTTTTCCTCCTCACATTATTGTCGGAACAACTCTGTCAGGCAGATCTTTGTTGTTGTTTAGTCGTTAAGTCGTATCCGACTCTTCATGATCCCATGGACCAGAGCAGGCCAGGCCCTCCTCTCTTCCACTGCCTCCCGGAGTTGGGTCAAATTGAGTGCTGTCCTCTGAAGATGCCGGCCACAGAGACTGGCGAAACATGAGGAAGAACAACCTTCAGAACATGGCCAAAGAGCCTGAAAAACCCACAACCACCATTGGGGCAAATTCATGTTGGTAGCTTCGATGACATTGTCCAGCCATCTCGTCCTCTGTCGTCCCCTTCTCCTCTTGCCTTCACACTTTCCTAACATCAAGGTTTTTTCCAAGGCGTCTTCTCTTCTCACGAGATGGCCAAAGTACTGGAGCCTCAACTTCAGGATCTGTCCTTCCAGTGAACAGTCAGGGTTGATTTCCTTTAGAATGGATAGGTTTGTTCTCCTTGCAGTCTAGGGGACTCTCAAGAGTCTCCTCCAGCACCACAGGCAGGTCTAACTGACAGTAAATGGATGAAAGTCACTAAAGGGGTCCCAAGACTCCCTGGAGACTAAAACCTGGACTGTCCAGTTCTAGTCTATTGCTCTGATCACTAAACCACTCTGACTCTCTCTTCTCCAAAATCTCTATTAATTTCTGCTCTACTCTTATGTAAAGAATTCTAACAGCTTTGAGTAGAATGCAGTCTGGAAAGATTTAACTACTGTAGCTGCTCTTTCAACTTATAGCAACACCAAAGCACGTTAAGTCAACTTTATTCAGAAATTTATTCAGTAACAAGTACTTACATTGTATATTTCAGAATGATGGAAAGTTTTGATGGAGAAATAGCACAGAAAGACAAGTTTATTTCCTAAAAGTAATAAGGTACTCTGGATAAGCTTGGATATCATTGAAGGTGACAAACAAGGAGGGTTTTGTGACATTATCTGTGACGCTGTCAAACAGATCTGTAGGATCCGTCGCATTCTTTGATGGTGGAACGATTAATCCTTGTGATCCAGCAGAATATTCTCCAACAAGCACTCTGGCAAGATACATATACTTCTTCCCATTTGCGTCTGGTGTTGAGTAAGTATCGTGGGCAGAATATTGAGCATTAACAGCAAAATAAGTCCCATTTCCAAAAGCTGCAGCTGTTAAACATGAAAATGACAAGTTTAAATAATCAAGAATCATCAAGTCCTATCTTTTCACTTTTTAACTGCTCCCTCTGCACGAATTATCAGTATAAAGAATATCAAACTGACAGTTTTACAACAGTTCATGACAAACTATCCTTTGCTGGTTTTCTTGCTATTAGCAGGACTGGGAAGCCTGTGACCCTCCAAATCTTGCTCTGTTCCACCTCCCATCAGTTCAAGCCACCATGATCCATGGTTCAGAACAATAGCACAGGGAGTGCAAGAACATCTGGAGGACCTCAGCTCTGAACTAACCATTGGAAAGATGCTTGGAAGTTTGTCCTACTTTTTAAATAGATAGTCGCCAGGCATAATGGAAAGGTGAACCTACAACAACATATTCTTGCAAATGTTCCAACTAAAGAAGCAGGCCAAAACACTTGGAGGGACATGTTTCCTACCTCTCTGGAATACATCACCTTTTTGAAATCACTATCACCTGTGCAGCCCAGAACATACCTGTGATCTTATCTGATTTCAGAATATGAACAGATTCAGGCCTGGTTCATGGCCAAAGGGGAGATCGCCAGGCAATAACAGGGATCTCCTGGCAGAGGCAGTAAAGAATCCTGCTTAGAATGCAGAGAAGCTGCTGCCAGCCAGCGCTGATAGTCCAATGTTCCATATGTTCCTGTAAGTCACTATAGAAAGGACTTGCTTGACCTCTCTATTCAGTACTCATGAGCTGCTCTTGTTCTTCGCCACTCCAAGGCTCTGATGAACTGCCTGCCATGGGAAGCTAGGCTAACCCCCTCCCTGGAATCTTCCCATTGATTTTGTTGAGGAAGAGGGTTTTCTATTATGCACCAGCTGGAGACTAATTCTGTCCTCAACAGTGAAGGCTCCATCCATTTCAAAATGTGTTTGGCAAAAGAGGAGTCCTCAGCCATCCATACAAAACCTAGGCGAGTCCTATTCATAGACCTCCTTGGTATACTTACCATGGGCACCGGCATAACTCCGATTAAACCCTTTGGCATTTATGACAGTTAATGATGAACTAGCGGTCCCATGAAAAAGGAGCTTCTCGTTATTTCTGTTGCCATTTTTAGCATCCATTTCCTGCTTTTTTATTTGATATGCCTGCCAGTAATACGGGTTTTGGATCCTCTCAATCTAGAAACGGGAGAGAAATAAAATCAGTAAAGTGACATTGGCCAACAGCCCATTATCATCTACTGAGACAAAACATCAATGAAAAATTAAAAAGTGCTGCTTCCATGCACTAAAAGCAGGTAAGCATCAGTAATCATAATTATGTGCTGTCTAGTCAATTCTGATTTATAGCAACCTTTTCCTAGGTTTTCCAGTTAGAGAATACTCAGTAGTGGTTTACCATTCCCTTCTTCTGGGGGCACCCTAGGACTGTGCAGCTTGTCTAAGGATGCATAGGCTGGCTCTACATGAAGGAGGCACAGTGGGGAACCGAACTCCCAACCTCCAGCTCTGCACCCAGATACCTAAACCACTCAGCTATCCAGCTAGCTCAAGCATCAATAAATGTCTGGAATTTTGAATTGCTGTAGCCATGAAACAGCTGATGCTCTGCTGATGCCAATCCTTCTAGCTCACCTGGATCAGCATGGAGCATGCGCTGCTAGGAATGCAAAATAGCCAGGGATGGTAGTTCAGCAAGCCAGACCCCCACCAAGAGCTCAGGAATCATTATTAATATCAAATCCAGAACTATACTACTGAAGATAGGAAGACATGGACCTCAAATGGCTGGGTATCACACAGAACAGTGCTTCTCCAACTCTGGTCTGCCATACATTTTTGATCTAGAACTCCCACAGGGACTCCTACTTTGCAAGCATTTAAGCAAAGGTTGGATGGCCATCTATTGCAGGTGCTTCACCTTCTGATCACTCATCTGGGTAATAACTTTTAGTGAAAGTGAAAAAATAAAGTGCCAAAGTAGGACTGCAGTTGAACATTAAGAAGACAATGCTTATGACTTCAGAAGAAGACTGAGAAGGGGAACAATGAAGGAACTAGAAGAGATCCATGACTATACTGTACATATGTCTCACTGGACACTAAAACCAAGATCATCCACACTCTTGTATTCCTGATCACCACGTATGAGTGTGAAAGTTGGACTGCTAAGAAAGTTGATGGGACAGAAATTGGTTCATTTGATACATGATGCTGGAGGATTGTGGACACTTTGGAGTGCCAGAAAGATGAACAAGTGGATCCTACATCATATCAACCCTGAACTTTCACTGGAGGCAAAGATGTTGAAACGGAGGCTGTCCTACTTTGGGCACATAATGAGAAGGCAAGATTCTCTGGAGAGGAAAAAAAATAATGCTGAGAAAAGTGGAAGGCATCAAGAAAAGAGGAAGGCCAAAAACAAGATGGATTGACTTCTGAGAGGAACCAACAGGATTGAGTTTGCAAAAGCTGATCAGGGCTGTTGAGGACAAGGATGTTTTGGAGATCTCTCATTCACAGTGTCGCTGTTAAGTCATGGACTACTTGACAATACACAAGAATAATAGCAACAACACAACTTCAAAGGGACAAACTGCCCAGCCAACCCACTATTCCTGTGGGGCTTTGTTATTCATCCATCTCGACCAGTCCAGCCCAGCCCTTGTTATGTCTGTGTCTTCATAGAACAGACCAAAAAAAGGCCTGGCAAAGATAAATATGATAGACAAGTATCAGGGGAAGAGACAGTCAAAAGGAGTCGTGGTTGTGGGGGAGACACTAAAGCTATTCTAGAACTTATTCAGAATGCAAGGCCTTGCCCAACTACTTCTGTTGATATTCATTTTAGGGCAATTGTTGGAAAAGCCCTTCTCCCTCCTCTGTCCTGACAATTTCACTCTTTCCCCACGCATTGTCACAGAACAACACAAAACGTTTTGTCTCCTTTCTGTCCTCATCTGGCAGGAGGAGGCAGGGTGGCTTTGCCATATGCAGGATGTCCTTCGCTTCAGGAAGCCCAGTCACACCACAAAAGCAGCGGGAGCAAGAGCTGCAGGCAGCACTTTGGCTGAAGGGATGGATGACTTGAGGGCCTTTGGATATCAAGGACACCTTCCTCTGCCATCCAGCTCAGGGAAGGCTGCTGAGTTTGGAGGGGGGGGAAGGCAGGGAGAAATTGACTCCCTCAGAGAAGGTGCCCCACCCCACCATGCAGTGTAGCATGAAATTCCCCCTCAGTGAGCCATGTTACAGAGAGTGACTCTGCCTCATGCTGGTCAAGTGGATCACACCAGGTTTTGCTAAATAGCTTCCACACAGTGGCTGTGACTAAGCAGTGACATGCAAGGGAAAGGACTGAACGGATGAGCTCAAAGTTTCACCTCAAGGACACTATGTGTCTGAGAGAAAGTACCCTCCATTTCTTTTCACAAACAGTCATACGTCACAAGGCCTGAAGAGTCGGGTGCAAGCTGCAGACAGCAACCTTGGTGCAGCTAAGACGGTCGGGGCCTAGTCAGTGCCTGGATGGGAGGTTGCTGGAGAACCTTAGACAAAGCCACCTTTGTGGGTGATGCAAAGCTATCTCAGTGCTTCCGACATGGACGACAGGCAGAAGATCAAAGTAGTTCTAAAAAAATCTTCCCAGTGCACACAACCAGGCAAGCAGAACAAGAGAGTACTGTATGATCTTTCCGTTGTATGCTTTACTTATATAATGTAGGAAACAAGAAGCAGTTCCATGAGACCAAGCAAGCAAGAAATTGTACCTTTTCAATCTTGAATGCGCTACATGTCTGGCAAAACATTGTCTTGACCTTTTGATATTCCCTTGCTTCTGGATTTAGCTCTACCACTTTGACACGCATTTGCTGCATGTCCTCCCACTCTTCTGGAAGTGCCATGGCCACATTATCTGTAAAACAAACACAGCATTGTTACCGTGCACACAATAATGTTGGCCTTAGTTGCTCCACTCCACTGTCTGATGGTTCATCCAAGGAAGCATCAGGTGGAACCTAAAACATTAGGTGGAACCTGATGCATGTGTTCAAGGCACAACTAACCAGCCTGATCCTGAGATAAGTGTATAAAACCATGTAACCAAAGCCTTACTAATGCTTCCAAGTCAGAGATTCATCTACAGAGAGTTTTGCGCCTCCACACATGCCTGTTGGACACATTACCACTTAACACCCAAGCTCCTTCAAGCAACTGTACATACAAATGAATGCTAAGCCTGGAAATAGCACCTCATCAGTGAAAGGCACCTTTCCTTGAATATATAAAGAATCTCGAAAGGAAAAGGACGTAGACTATTGATGAGGATGGCGTTAGACTACAGTTCCCACCATTCCCCTCCAGCAGCTATGTGGGATACATGGGAGTTATAGTCTGACAACCTTTGGAAGGTCACATGTTTCCTAAACCTACTCTAGGGCCATTTCCTGGCAGCTATGAGCCAGCGTGTCTCAAATTTTCTATCTGGCCTTAATATGGTAAATAGGAAAGCCAATTAGATTTGTATAAGCCGGGGAGCCAAGAAAGTTTTAAGGATCAGATCATACTTTTGCACTATTAAAGAGCAGGCTGGGTAGGTGGGGCTCGTCAGCCATGGAAGGCAGCCCATCTAGGAGAAGGAAAACTCTGATTTCAAACCTCCACTGCCCTGTGGCTATACCCACTCATGGAAAAGGCTTCAGGAGTTAACCTTGAGGCAAAATCTGGAGCTGGAGTCCCGAAGGCAGCATGTGTTGTTCTGCCAACTCCTGCGACATCGCTGGAACCAGTTGTATTGGCCCTTGCCTTTCCACTGGACCATTTCAGCAATGTGGAGAGGGGGGATCTGCTGATTGGGTAACAGCCTATCCTCCATATTACCTTACCCGGGCTTCATGCTCTGGAGAGGACATTCCTCGATTCAGAGCATGTTACCATAGTCTCTCGAGACTGAAGGATGCCTATGCTATGAGCCAGCACTGAAGAAAACAGGGGCAACGAAGAGGGAACTGTTAACAGCAGTTACACAGTCAGCCATTTCCAAAATAAGCAAATGTTCACTGTGGTGTAAGGCAGTAGTTCTTAACCTTTGTTACTCGGATGTTTTTGAACTGCAACTCCCAGAAACCCCAGCCAGCACAGTTGGTGGTGAAGGCTTCTGGGAGTTGCAGTCCAAAACTCCTGAGTAACCCAAGGTTAAGAACCAGTGGTGTAAGGGACAGCACGTCGAGCTTGACTCTAGGCCATCTCAGTCATGGCTTTCCTTGGTAAGAGTTCTGGATTTACAGCAATTTCAGAAGTGAGGGAGCGAAAGCCCAAGTTTAATATTTCAAGAGGTTACCTTCCACTTTTGCAATACGCCGAAGAGTAATTTTTGTCCCTTGGGCATCCGTTGCACACAGGTTGATTGGATCCACGGTGTAGCATTTGTTCTGTATGTTTACATCACGCTGCCTCTGATGTTGTGCTGCGGATTCTATCCACATATTGGTCAGAGTGTCAAATGCCTTGTATTGTCCCTGGTCTTCATATTGCCACTCTACCAGGGTACTGAGAATGTCTGCCCTGGACTGCTCTTCTCTGCCTTCCCGGACACTTTTCATCATGCTCTGCACCTCTTCCATGGCAGTCCAGACATCCTTGCTCATGCCATGAACACGGAGGAAAGGCATAGAGTTGTCACTCTCTAACTGAATGCCAATATTCAGCCTCTCCTGAAGACTCTTCAATTGCTCCAATTCCCTTTCCCCAAAGTTTGTAATACAATTGTCTGAGAATGTCATTTCCTTTTGTTCCTGCAAAATCAGCTCTTTAACCCAATTTGCTGCAGCCTCTACATTTCTCTGGTTGTCTCCACAAATTTGAAAAATGGCTGGCTCTACAGGTTTCTCCAGAGACAAGGAAGGCTTCTGTTTTGGTTTAGTGGATATTACAGAGGCGAAAAACCCTGCAACAGAAGACATCAGTTTAAGGAAACATCACACTTCATTACTAACACACTGCAACTGAGAGGTTCCACAATAACAGAAGTGGACTACTTCTTACCTGTTATTCTGGATATAACAGATTTTGGTGCCTGTGCATCTGACTTGGGAGCAGCAGCCTCCTTCTTCTGCATACTTGTATAAAATACATTCAGTAATTGTTTTTGGAAAATGATTATTTTAATATGTTTTACCACTGGGGCAGATGTATTACTTGCAAACTCTACGATCCCATCAATCATATCATCAGCCACTTTGGCTGGATCACGTTTTGCTCCTCCTGCAATTACAATAAGGTGCCCACTGTTAAATAAGAAAAAGACAAAAGTTTCCCCTCTAGGGTTTATCATACTACAAGCCAAAGAATAACGAATGCTTCAACTACAGGATGTGACCACTTCTGATCACAATCTATACACACGCACACACCTAAAAGGATTTGGATAGAACTTTTCCATTGTTTTATACTTGGGCCTACCTTTAATTTCAACTCATAAACAGGGCTACCTTTTCATTCTTACCATATTAATTTTGTTCCACTGGTCACATCTTCCACATTTCTCTCCATAATCCTGCTCAAACTTCCTGTTTTACCTTCTCTTTTGAAAAGCAACCATTCAAAGACAAAAGAAAAACATGTGCCTAATGCTTGAAGGGGGGGGGGGAATTATGGTGGCCTAAGACAATGAGCTCTGTTCTGCCACTAGGGAGGAAATTAATTAATGTTCAATGACAATTCTTGACAAAGAATGTAAAATCAGCACACAGTAAAGCTGGGTTGATAGACCCATCTCCCAAGTTACTGTACCTCCAAGCCTTCTACTAAGGTGGCCACCAGTTACAATTGCAGAAATAAAATTCTTAATTTCAACCATCAGGAACAATAATGCTCCAAGGGAAAACTTTTTTCCTAATATTCTCATATCTTTCCAGGATTGGTGGGCTCCCATCCTAGCCACCTTATTCACTTACATAGATACATTTGGTAGAATCTCTGGTGAAGGGACATCCTCAATTATTGTGGCTATCTACAAGAAAGGGGAACAAAATGATCCTGCCCGTTACAGACCTGCACATTTGCTTGAGGTTTCAGGCAAACTCCATGCACGATATCTCCTCAAAAAACTGGAAGGATGGGTGACCAAAACCAATCTATTAGCCCCTGAACAAAATGGCTTTAAGAGGGGACATTCTACTTTGGGCCATGTTTTACTGTTACAACATCTAATTAGCAAATATATTGAAGATTATCAGGGTGACTATTTATAGCTTTCATTTATCTTAAAGTGGCATTTTGACTCTTTTTCAAAGAGATCACATTTGAAGAAAACTGAAAAATCTCAATTTAGATCTGAAATTACTAGAGAGAATTAAAGATTTGCATCCTTAAAGGTCAGAGCTGGCATTTCAGGGCAATTGTTTAATATAAAAATACAGTGGGGTCTTGACTTGAAAACTTAATCCGTATTGGAAGGCGGTTCTCAAGTCAAAAAGTTCTCAAGTCAAATCTGCATTTCCCATAGGAATGCATTGAAAACCATTTGATCCGTATTGGCTCCTTTCCGTCCATAGAAACTAATGGGAAGCTGCTATTCAGCCTTTGACCACTAGAGGGGGAGATTTTGTTTCTTTTTTTCTTAGGTCAAGAAAGGGTCAGGGAAGGCAGGGAAAATACAGTCCAGGCAGGACAGTACCAGGCAGTCTGAAGACTCCCAATCCACTCTCTAAACGTTGGGAGGAGTGAGGAAGCAGACAGGCATCCTTTTCACTGGCCAACAGTTAACTGAAAGTTCAAATTTTGCACTTTCCCTGCCTCCCACATGGTTTTTTTTCAGTTCTTAACTCAAATCTAAGTATGTAAGTCAAGTCAATATTTTCCTATGAGAGTAGTTCTTAAGTCAAAATGTTCTTAACTCGAGCCGTTTTTAAGTCAAGACCCCACTGTATTATTCCACCAGTCAGGCTCTTGGCCATCTATCTCATGTGTTTTCTAAGTAGAAATTTGAAAAGGCCATGTTTGGCATACAGTCAAACCTACAAACGGCCCTACATACGGACTTTTCGTTTTACGAATAGCTCCATTGGCAAAAATTGGCAACGACTTCTGAACGGAGACGAGACAAAGGGGAGGGCTTTAAATTCACAGATTTTGCCTCCTACTGAGAACCTCAGGAAACACTGATGGTCTGACCTGATGTGGAAATAAGCATCCTTGAGGCAAAGCACCGTGAACCAATCCCTGTGATACAACATGTGGATAACAGAGTCCAGGGAAACCATACAAAATCTACAAGGGGTAATGAAAGAGTTCAGGTTGCGAAGATTAAGAATCGGACAGAGGCCTCCATCCTTCTTGGGGATGGTAAAATACCCTGAGTAGAAGCCTACTGAAACATCAGGGAGATGCAAAGTAACAATGGAATCTTTCTCCAGCAGGGCCTGAATTTCACCTTAAAAGGGGGGGTGGAGGATTTGAAATGGCCTGCTGCGATGGGGGGACTGTCGAATTCTATAGCATAGCCTGTGGCATATTCTATAGCACAGCCCCAAGAATCAGACATGATGGAATACCATGAGTGCAGGAAAGGGGCCAAACGGACTTATGGGTCAACTATAGAGAAGTCGTAAGTATTAAAGAAACTTCCTGGTCTTGCGATCTGGTTGGCGGTTTTGCTGTCGGGGGTGATGCCTGCCCACTTGCCCACTCTGATGCTCCTGATACCCCCTAGGCTGGTAAGACCATCCGCCTTGGCATACCATGTTCAAGGCTCTTGAATCCCTTGCTGAAAATATACACAGCACAAACTGGGATAACAATACCATCCAACAGAACTCTGAATTTAACCAGGAATTCTGATTTGGGAGTTTTCTAGTTTCAGCGAGTAGCATGAGAAAAGTGACTCTTCACGCATAACACGGTATGCCTACAGTAACAACCAGATCCCCCTCCCTGTCTACTCAGTGAAATGCTTATCAGCAGGTCAGAAGAAACCAGCTGGCCCAATGTGTCATCTCTTAAACCTCTCCAGAATTCACATCAAAAGATAATCAGCAATGCCAAGTTATAATCTTAACCTCTGCAATGTCCGATATGTAGTCGTGCACCACTGGGCCATCGTGAACACTCTGGCATACTCCTGTCCCACTTCACTGCTTGCACGGTGAACTCTGCCCCCACTCCCACCCCTGACAATACAGACCTGTCCCAATTGCAGGAAAAGCAACTGATGCAAACTGCCTTTGCTGACATTCCTGGAGGACACTGGTGACCTGCGTTTTGATGTCAGGGTTGGCCACCAGATGGATGACACTCTTACACTTCAGATTTCCTGGCTTTGTGCATATGAGATTGTTGTGAGGCTGAGAGGCTGGAAGACGGGAAAGAAGATATGAAACAAACAAAGGCAGCATCTACATCAACATGAATGCAAGACTTCCATCTTCAAGACCTTTCTGGCAAATTATCATTTGAGTCAAGGTAGGATTATTTCACACACCTGGGCACATTGCCAATTTGTCCTCTGTACAGTATTATCTTTTCACTCAGGTCTGTGCAAAGCAAGAATGACAGGTTCATCAATTACTAAATATCATTACCTGCTACCAAGCCTAGGCAAGTTCTGTACATCAGGGAGTACAGAAAACAAAGCTCATGTCACCAGCTCATGTTTTGTTTTACCTTCTGCAGAACTACATGGTAATTCACATTGTACAGCTATGCAGGAAACCAACCAAATTGTAAATTTTGCCCAGATCAGCTCCGACTTTAACACTGAATGCACACATTTAGGATCAAGTTAACTCCTTGCAGAACGACCATTACTTAGACATATCACACCAAGGAACAGATGAGTTAAGGTGAACAATAAACGAATCAACTACTAGCAGAAGAGTACTGGCCAAGTGTGGTCACTTTTGGGCAGAAAGTGCATCAAAGCCTCTGCTGATCAGTAGCCAATGATGCTTCCTTCCCCTGTTCCCACCCAAGGCCAAGGAGCTTGCTGACATTCACCATCAACCAGAGTCATCCAGCTGAGCTGCAAACAAGCTGCTTATAAGAGCTGATCCATACCTAGGACAGCACATTCCTTTGCCATCTCTGGTCCAGCTCCATCCAGAATTGCTTTAGAAACACCTTTTTTAAAAAGAAAAAAGAAAAAAAATATTAATTTGCTTAATAATTAACAAAACAACCAGTAAAGTCTTACCATCTCTTAAGATACAAGCACTAGACTAAACCTCCCTTCATTGAACACATAGAGCACCACACGCCAACTCTGGAGACTGTTGTTATCCACACCCAGGATAAATATTCCCATTGTTCTGCTTGTTGTATGACCTGGAGAACTCCTACACAGCTGGAGGCACACTTGGGCTTCTGACTCAAGGTTATGGTCTCACAATGGAGACAGAGCCACCAAGGGCAGGTTCAGAGCCGGGAGCAGTGGCGTAATGGCGCCAGGGCTCACAGAGTCAAAGCCCAGAGACAAAACAGTTGGGGGTGCGACATCATCAGCTACCTTCCTTAAATTTCCCTGTTTCCTCTCAAGTTTAGCTGTAAACCTCACAGCAGCTAGCAAAGAAATGGCTTTTGCCAGCAATAGCATCCTATTACAAACGATCACTGATGCAATGCCATGTTTATGAGGGTGGCTTAGAGTTGGATAGGCAATTCAGAAAGCAATTAACTTCACTCCTCATTTGCTGAGGTAGGTAGCTCGCTCCAGCTATCTCCTTGGTTAGATTCTCCTTATGGTTGGGGGGGTGGAGGGCAGCTAGGGCAGCTGTCACAATGAGCACTTTGCACCTGCAACTTTCCTGCAACAAAATGGATTGGACGAGTACATCAAGGTCAGCTCTTCTTGAAATCAACACCACATCTCTCTCTGACATGTGGAAAATCTTCTTGCATAACTGAGAATGACAGAGACTGCCCAGTTTGCCTGGGCTAGGGAGATTCACTGTAGAACAGCTTAACTACACTTGCATAGGCTTTGTGACAAGGGCAGTCTGAGACCAGACTGGCTGAAGGTTTCTGCAGACTTTTTCAGGCAGACACAGGGTCTGAGTAGATCGGGGAATTTGGAGTGATTCGGATCAAGTTTAAACTTCTCTTACAGAGATGTGGGTATTTGTATAGGAATATGAATATCCCCATGCAGTTGGACTTAATGAGGGTCCAGCCCCCACTTGCATCCTGCTGTGGTCCTAGTCCTGCTCCTCCTTCCAATCATGCCCAGAGTGTCGCTTGCTTCCTGCTCGGCTGGCCAATCCAGGCAGCGAGTGGGAGGATGAGCCTCCCTGCATGGCTGCTGAGTGTCCAGCGAAGCAAGAAGAGAGCAGTGCTCCAGGAGCGATCGGGAGGAACAGCAGGATTGGTGCCACAGGAGGACACATGGATGGATGGTCCTGTCCCAGGGGCTGAACCCTCTTTAAATCCAGCTGCACGGGAATATTTGTATACAAATAACTCCATCTCTAGTCTCTTATCATCTATACAATATATTATCTTGCACTTGAGTGTTCCTTCCAGTCCACACAGAAGACAGTTTTTCTTCCATGACAGGGATCCAGACAGCACTTTGGATTGCTCCAATTTCCCCTCTTTTGACTAATGACGACTCGGCCCCTTTCCCTGTCCTTTCGTCATACCAGTCATTCCATGGTGCACAACAACTTCCCGCTTTTTAAAAACTTAGTGACACAGCACTACAGCTATGCATCAGTCCAACAGGTAGAGGGTGTGTGTGTATTATTTTATATGTGCAGGCCATCGTTGACAATTTCTGAATTGATTAGCTTTCAAATGTATGCTTTCCTAGAGGAGTGTCTGTTTTCCCACACTGTTCATTGAATGGGTTTCAGAAGGAACACAGCAGCAAATTATTAAAAACACTGCCTGAATATGTCTCATTTTTCATTCAGTGGCTCAGTATTGCATTAGATATGGTATGGGTATCAGTAAATACTCCCTTATGTCTGAAATAGAACTTCATCACTAAAGGAGAATAATTTTAAAAATTTATGAGAAGAGGACAATAGAGGAGAGAGTTTCTCCCCTGTCCTTTTTACTGTCACAACCAATGTTCCCTCTAATTTTCAGCCCCAGTTAGGTAAGGCTCCACCCCCCCATGAAACTCCAAACACCCCCATGGAGTTACGTTGCAAGTGGAACAAAAGGGGCTGGAAATGATCACTAAGGCTGCATGAAGGAGGAGGACAGCCGTGCAAAGGGGGGCACTCACACACACGATAGAGAACCCTGTTCACCCACTGCATATGCCACAGGGTTGTCCACTGAAGAGAATGCCACCTACAGCTCTGTTTGGGAGTGAACTAAGCAACCACACAGACTGCAGAATGGGATAATTAGAACTCCTAATTGCACCAAATAAACTGCAGCCCTAGTGCTGTGCCAGAAAGGACAAACAAAACTGCACCAAAAATGAATGAAAATATATATGCTTGCCTGATCATCCCAACGTTTTTCTTTCTAATGTCATATGATGGCAAACTTCTGTGAGGGGAGACACATAATGGGCTATATGCAGCATGGAAGAATATGGCAGCATAAATGACTTCAGATTCAAAATATATCACACTCTCATTCTATTCGTGGGGATTCAGAATAGGGTGGAATAACTGTCTCCACGTAGAAGTGAAACGAAAGCAGCAGCCACAGCACTCAGCATGATTTTTAAGTCTCGTTTGAGGATAAGGTGAGGATAAAGGACACAGAGGCATGCAAATGTGCCAAGATAACAGGAAAATTTCCCAGGAAAAGGCAAAGGCTTCAGAACGTACCCACACACAGGTTAAACGCGTCATTGGATATGTTCACGATCGCATCTGTGGTTTCTTGGGTGATATCTCCACATTCCACGTGCAATTTAATTGGCCCGATTTGCATTTTATGAACTCCTGAGGATGCAAATGAAATAGGCTTAATGAAAGCTGTAGGGAAGGAGGAGAGATTATGACCTGCATCTTCTTCATCCCTTCTCCTGCCCAACTGCAACATATGTTATTTATATGTGAGGATGGTTTTCACTTCGATAACCTTTTACCCTGACACTCAGAACACAGAGCTGGATGACAGAAGCCCACTAATGCTCCAGTTCACCTCACACAAGAGGAGTCATACTGGCCTATTTTTGACTAGTCCAGCACTACTACAACAGCAGCCCTCAGGCACACAGGCTCCTTCCTCCTTCTTAGGAACCGTGGGGGGTAAGGGGACATCAGAAAAATCCATTTTCTGTTTTAAACTAAACAAAAGTAATTCTTATCCCTAGTCTGGGAAAACTCTGGTTAGTTTAAACCATAGGTGGGCAGCTGGCATTCAGGAGCTGCGCATGCCCGTCCCTTGACCTCGGAGGACGGCGCCCACTCCTTTGCTCCAAAATGTATTTCTTTTAAATGATGAAACAAGTCCCCTTGCACTTTCTCGTAATGATTTTTTAAAAAATCAAAATATAGGAAGGATGCCAGGGTCCCAAAACAGGAGGAAAGTGTCCCTCAACCCTGTAAAGGACACAAAGAAGGTTAAAAGGCAAAATAATTCTCTACGAGCCTTAGTAGCATAAACTATAACCTTTTCATTTCCACTCAATTAAACAGTGACAGATGGTTGTGTCTTCCTTCAAGAAAGCTATAGAAAACTTACCAAAGTGTCTTCTGTTTGAGTACACTTGTCTACCCGGGCTAGTTTGAAACAGGAAGTGGATGTTTGGAAGGCATAGGGGAAGTAGCAAGCTCGAGGCTCCCCCCTCCGGCTCATGTAAGCACTGCCAAAATGCCACACAATTCCTATCAATCCCTGGTTTTGCATTATGTCTAATATAGATGCCTGGCCCTCAAGCTAAAGTAAGACCGGGGGGTGTGTATGTCAGAAAAAACATACACAAAAGAATTTGACAACCACATCTATTGGAGGACTACTACGACAGGCTAGCATTCTGTTGGGGATCACTGTACATGGAAACAATGTGGTGGAGTGAAATTAAAAAGCCCATTGAAATGCATTGAAAACCGTTCAATGCATTCCAATGGGTGAAATACCTCACTGTCCAGTGAAGATCCTCCATAGGGCGGCCATTTTCTGGTGCCTGTAAAGTGAGCCATCAGTCCTAAAACACAGTGGAGAGCGATTTTGCACAGCGGGCGGCCATTTTGTGACCCACTGATCAGCTGTTTTAAAACTATCGTAATGCGAAGAATCGGTTCCCGAAGCAGGGAACTGATCATCGTAAAGCGGATTCTCCCCATTTAAACATCATTTTGCGATTGCAAAAACCTCATCGTTAAGCGGATTCGTAGTGGAGCGGGGCAATCATTAAGCGGGGCACCACTGTATGTGATCATTCTCAAAAGGATACCTGCCACAGTAAATGGTGATTTCCCTAATTAGCTTGTCATTTTCTTCTTTAGAAGCACACAACAGCTAAAATCCTCTTACTTAACATAGGAGGTCACAACTAGAGTTAGCCCATTAATCAATGGAAATAATGGAACATGTTGACTCACCAAATCCTCACTGATTCAATGGGCCTCCTCTAAGTGTGACTTATATTAAGCAGTAGGATTTCAACCAACGTTAATTGCTAATTCTTTCCAATTCCTCATAGACAACTCCTATTTCACCTATTATAGAATATTATTTGACTTCCTTCACAACTCACTGAACTGACACAACTATATGAGATTCCAACACGATGCTGATGTTCATGCAAGTAGCATACGTCACCTCAGTAAAAATGCTGGACTTTTATTCTTTGAAAAGCTAGGCAATGACACATCTCCAGCCATCTCTGAAGCTTCCTTTCAAAGTATAACATGGCACAAGGCCAGTTAAGTTCTCGCCTACGTCTTCAGTAACTTAAAAAAAACTCTGCAAGTTAAATGAGGCTTCCTATTTTACATGAAAACTTTTCCAAATCTTACTCTCTGCAGTGGTTTCAACTATCATTACTGCCTCCTTCACTGTTCTACTTTCTTGCTCTCTCTCTCTCTCTCTCTATTTGCTACATACACTTCCAGCTTTTCTTTCCCTACGTGAGATCCTAAGATTCACAGGATTCTGAGGCAATGAAACTCCTTTGAAAAAGCAAATACAAAAATAGCGAGAACAGTACCTTGACTTTGCAGCAAATTCTCTGGAACAACCTTGAGCCCAGTTTGGTTCAAATTACATCTGCTGTATAGTTCATCTGTAAAGGCCTAAGGAATAAGAGAACAGGAATTTTAAAAACCTTACAAGGAAGTCTATGTTTTAGTTTCAGTTTTAGAGCGCACACACGAACATGCACACACAGTTTTATGAATACATTTTCACATAAATAATGTTTCTATGCATGAACGAGATTAGGGTCAGGTCCATGGTTCCCCGTAATCATATTCAGGCTTCAATGACGAGTCACGTTGAGAACGTATAAAACCTTTGTTCTATAACACTGCAGCCTCAATAACTTCCAAAAGAGCAACAGAGTCTTCAAACTTAGGTAGACTAAACCAATTGTCCATTAGTTTCTTCCAATTCCAAGTATGTTGACCAAACCTCTCCTATTCGATGGGCTTATGCAAGGCTGTATTGCGGCTGGCACACAGCATTCCACAACAAGGGTGGCAAGCTCACTCTCACTCTACTGGTTTCCAGTGGAGTGGGAAGGGGTCCCTCCTTTTTCAAGGAACTGCCTCTCTTGGGGTACATTGTAACCATCCATTCTATTTCCTCTTGCTCAGACAGCTGGATTTTAATTCCTTCTCTTCCCTCTTTCTTTGTTCCCATCACCCTCACACCACCCAATAGCAAGGTTTAGGAACCAGGTAACTTCTCTATCTCATCCAAAGGCAATTTCATGTGGTTCATCTCCTTGGTCCAATGGTCCTCTAGTTCAATCCACCCTGATCTCATGGGTAAGTCTTCCTTCTCTCTTTCCTTTCTTTCCTTCTCCTTAACCTGATCTACCTCTTAACCCGAGTCTACCCCCTTCTCTCATCTCCTCCTCTATTATTAAGTTATCCCCCTCTTCTCCTACCACCAGGAAACCCTCTATGACTGGTTCTTTTGTAGTTCCCCCTTAATTCCCACCATGACCATTCTTACTCTTCAACCTGCTCCTGCCCATGGCTGTCCTGGGGCTCATGTGTAACCCCCATATAACAGGTAGGCTGTATACAGTCTCAAATCCCTCAGTGGAGTCTGGTTTGGGCGATGGCACACTCATGGAGCTGATAGGTTCAGGCTCTATCCCATCACACTCTGCGATACCAATTTTGGGATGTATTTCTATCTTATCTTAATAAGGCAAAATATCAACAATACTGTATTTTGTTTCCCAATGAAGTCTTTCCGCATAAGCCAGCTAAGAACTCTTTCCTTAGCTAGAGTTTCTGAAATTGTCCAAACTAGGCAACTATAGTTAGTTAATACCTGAGGAATGACCGGACAGATAGCTCTAACTTCAAACCTTGGGTAAACTGAGAAAAATAAGGGGTACAGAGCAAATAATACAGTGTTAGGAAATAAAATCAAATTTGAAGAGGCTCTCTCACCCAAAATTTTAAAAAAAGTAAGTTTGGGGGGAACAATACCCCAAATATCCCACCCAGCATGTCTGCTGCATAATTCTGCCTGTGAGGTGCTGAGACTGCTAGCCAAAAAAGTAAGTGAGCCAAGTTCTACTCTTTTCTAAATTGTGTTGACAAGTAAGGGCTCTGAAGCAAATTACTCGCCTTTGGAACAACTTGCCAGTGGAGATCCACCTGGCTCCCTCTCTGGGTGTTTTCAAGAACAAACTTAAAACCTGGCTATTTGGGCAGGTTTTCCCTTCTGCTATATCTTAACTTCTTATATTTGTGCTAGCATGGATTTATATGCTTATTGGTTTTATTGTTTTTAAATCTGCAACCGTCCAAAGTAGATCTTTGGTACAGGAGGGAAGGAGGGGGAGGGAGAGGGAGGGAGGAAGGAAACACACACACACATACATACATACTCACTCCAGGCCAGTTTTCCTCCTTAACTATCAAGATGTATACAAGGCAACACCTGAGTACACCACACGAATAGCTGTCATGTTATCAGACACATATTAGATCTCATCACAAAAAACCTTTCAAAACATTGTGGGTATCTTTCACAGTCATCTCTAAGATCAAGGAAATGCCACAGTGCTACGAGAAAAAAACAGGAACACAGTACCTTGACAGTGCTGGTGTCACTCGGATGTAGTACAAAATGAACTTCTTGAAGGGACTTCAGATTTTGTTTCTGACTGAGTTTAAACACTTCATCAAACATCAATTTAGCAACAAGTGGCTTGGGAAATCCTAAATTACCCGTCCCAATTGCTGGGATCGAGATGGAACTCAGGGAGAGCTGTTCCGTGATTGTCAGACATTCTGCAACAATGTCCTGCAAGATCTGAGGATTAGAGAGGAAAACAGTTTTTAAATCTACCACTAAAAAAAGTTCAAAGCTGCAAGCTTCCTCACAATTAAAAGGTCTCAGAGGACGAATAAAATGTACCACACCCTGTCAGCATTTGCTGCCCTTCCATTGGCAGGGAAAGATTTCTCTACCCACCAAGGACTTCCACAACTGTCTGCCTATTAAGGACACATAATTTAATCAAAATGCTGTTTTCATTTTCTAAAAAATTATAACCATCATTATTTGAACCGATAAGTTTTACAACTGTTTTCAACTAAGAGCCAAATCACATAGAAAAAAAAGTTGAATCCTTCCATTTAGGTTCAAAGTGTGTGATGGCTTTGAATTAATGCAGAAAGAAAAGACCAGTTAAACAACACACACACACACACACAGAGAGAGAGAGAGAGAGAGAGAGAGAGAGAGAGAGCACCAGCATTCACCTCTCTCTGCAAAGCCAAGCCTCTCTGCCAAGGCACTTTCTGAGCCAGCTTCTCCACAGGCAGATGTCCATAATTTTTATTATTTTACAGTTTATCATACACAACCACTGGCAATACAGGCAGAGGAAACAAGTGACTGAGGAAGGAATCAACCTCTCATTTCCTCTTACGGCAGTTCTTCTGAACTGAGCCAATGACAAGCACTTCAAATGGAACTACAGTAGAAGGGATTCTTCTCCTCTGCCTGCATGCACACTTAAATCAAAGAGAACTGACAGCCCCAGTATGGCTTCACAGTGAGAGAATGTGAGTTAATTCACATTCCCCTCACTGTGTAGTCGCACCCTTAGTTGTATATTAATATTATACTTAGATTAATTATATTTTGGTATTTATTACCTATCGTGGTTTCATACGCGTTTGCTTTTAATATTGTACATGTTGTTGCCTAGGGTTGCAGTTCTCAGAGACAATGGCTAAAAATCAGACAAATAGACCATATTGGCTGTGGCAGTACATATTAGTTATCCAAAACTACAAACCAACATATGGTGGCTTATTAAATGCTACATTAGGACCCCTGTATCCACAGGGGATCTATTCCATAATCTACTGCAAATGTCTGAAACTGTGGATAGAAGCGAACCCTATATAAAATATACCAGGAGGCAGATCAAATGCCCAAGGGCCTATCCCCTTGCATATTGTATTTAGGGCTGTGGTAAACCACAGAAAACAGTGACTATGGATCTCTTCAGACTTTTGAGATGTATCAACAAATCCCAACTGTACCTTTTCTTCGGAGTTCTGGCCCTGATTCCAGTGGGGTAAAATGACATGCAACACATGATAGCAGTTCAGGGCATAACCAGCCGTTTTTAGCACACAACCATTTTTCAGGGCTTTGCCTTGGCCTTGTTTGGTTAATTCCATCTGGAGCTCTGCTCCTGCTCTGCCCAGCAGGGCCTTGGAGAGGAAGCCTTGATTAAGTTGCAGATCGCTGGAAACACTGTTGACTATCACATCCGTCTAGAAAGGCAGACAAGAACAGCTATGAAAAATCTGAAACCTCTCAGATGAGCGGAGCACACTTGCTCACTTCCTGTCTCCCTGTCACCAACAGCACTATATAGGAAACCTCACTTATCTTGATTTAAGACTCTTGGTTCCTCTAGCCTCAGGCCATCAACTCTGGTTGGCAGCGGTCTCTGGGGACTCCAGCAGGAGTCTCTCCTAGCCATACCTCATCATTTCTAGTATTCTCTTTTTGACCTCCCACTCAAGCAATAAGCAAACCCAACTCTACTTTCTCTTGTTAGATCATGAGTCAGGTGCATGAAGGGAGCGATGGTGATGAAAGAGGGATACCACTACATATTTACAACTAAATGAATTGTAATATCCTATTTACAAGGCTCTACGTTTTTAAGCAAACATTGCAAAACGCACCCATCCTTATGTATGAAGTGCAATGGCATCATCAACCTTCAATTGTATTCAACAGCACGAAGTGCAGGACCTCATACTGCACTTTCACTAGCAAAACCAGGAGGGAGCATCCTGCCTCCCTACTGCAGCCCATCTTCCACCATTCTAAAAGGCTGGGGCCAGTTTTTGGGCATTGCAAAGTAAAAACGGAAAGGGGAGGGAAGCCATTGTGACCATCGGCACAAGGGGGGTTTTAACTTTAGATTTCCCAGCCAAACCCTTCAGATGCCCAGCAACCTACACAGATGCCCCTAATCTATGCATGGAGAGTGTTTGAATCGGGGGGGTTCACTCAAACTTTCTGATGCACTGAATGATCACATGATAGGCTTGTAGGCTTCTACAGCACTTATCCGTGTAAGCGACAGGATTGTAAAGGAACCTAAACAAACATAATGAGAATTATCAGCAGCATACTTACTGTTACATCTTCAATTCCCTTTTCCTGTAGAATTATTTTCAGGCCTTCAGCAGTAACGACCATTTTTTCCTTCGGTCTACCTTCTGCAGCATGGCTCTTAGCTTTGGAGGTAGAAGGCCTTTGAGAATCCCCTTTCGAGGCCAGTCCTTTGTCTCTGAACACTTTGTTCACAGCTTCAGAGAAGGCCTGAACGGTTTGATCATTACAGTCCACAAGGCATATGTGCTTCAAGGAGACATTCTCAACAAATTCCTCTAAGGTTTCCTTGATGGCTGTTACAATAGAATGAACACATTCTTCAAGTGGGAATCCGAATATGCCAGAACTTATGGCAGGGATAGCTACGGAGCAATGATTATAGGCTTCTGCCAGCCGTAAACTGTCCCTCACAGCTTTCTTCAACAACTGTATGCATTTTTCTTTTTTATGACTCTCCCACCTTGGCCCAACGGCGTGAATTACCTGCTTGCAGGGCAGGTTCCAAGCACTCGTGATAACTGCACAGCCAGGCCTTAAGCGTCCATGTTGTCTTACAAGGTTATCACACTCGTTCTGGAGCTGCGGGCCAGCTACTTTCGAGAGTGCATCGGCAAGGCCCCCAATGTGCTGCAATTCTTCATTTGCTGCATTAACTACCACATCCACTGGAAAACGGGTCAGGTCTCCCTTGTTCACAGTTATGACAATGCCGTCTCTTAGTTTAACTTCGCAACACTGCTGGCCCTTCCCTTCATGGCCCCTCTCCTCTTCATCACCCTCTGTGCCTTCCTGGATCATGACCAAACACCTAAATTTTTGTTTTGCAATGGGAACAAGCAACTGTTCTTGCTGCTGGAAGAAAGCTTTGGCTCCTATGCGATCAACCACCATAGTTGTTGCGTGCAGAGATGAGATTATATTTTGAAAGAGCTGGTGTCCTTCCAGCACTACTCTTTTGGGCCCTTCGAGGAAAATCCGTCTCCGATTCTGCCGTGTGCCAAAATTAATTTTCACATCTCGCTCAGTCAACATGAGCCATTTATGGGCCATCTCCTGCTCGACAAACAGAGTCACAGCCGCAGACTTCGTCACAAGGATTTTCTGAATGTATGTGTTGGTATCAACAAAATCTGACAACTTCTGATTGGCATCAGCCACTGCTTTGGAATAACCTGCAATGACTACCTGATCCTCCAGCTCATGGATGATGATGGTTTCACTGGAACAGTTATATGCCTTGTATAAACTTTGGGTCAGCTCATTCCATTCTTTCATTCTGATGACCAGTTTGTCCTCCAGCATGATGCATCGGTAGGACAGATCTTTCTTCATTGCTTCCTCCGCTTTTGTTAGATCCTGAAAAGTTCCTCCCAGTAACAGGACTCCCTCACTCTTGAGTTCATAGAAGGCATTGATGCTTTTGTCCCAAAACAAGAGTCGAGACAGCTGCTCGTTATCAACATGTTGCAGGAAAAGCAAAACGTAAGGAGGCACATCCACAGACTTCTGAGCCATACTGGACAGACTTTCCAGGATATCACTTTTCGTTTTGAACACTTCAGCAGCTACACCACAGAGAGATATACATTCTTTGGAAGCATCATAGGAAATTCCTAGTTCTGGGTACTCTGAGTGAATTCTCTCCTGTAGTCCAGCATTGTTCAGGACAGTGTATTTTCCAGGAACAACTGACACAGTTTTCTCCACTGTCTGCCTCTCCCTTTCAATCTTTTTAACAGCACTTTCTATATGCAGCTTCATTTCTTGCTCTGCATCAGTGACAACTTCGACTGCTCCCACCAAGGCAACAATGTCCTTTGGAACATCCGGTATGATCAAAACGTTATCTCTGACCATGCTGTTTCTAATGGCTTCCCACACCTCAGCATCCACTCTGCATTTGACAACCTTCTGCTTTGATAGCAGCTGTGTAAGGTGAACAGATACATCGTCATTCCAAGTCTTGATCAAAGATCTAGGTTGCTTCAACAAGGCACGTGAAGGGTGCATGGTGATCTCTGGGTGTTCACTGGCCCTAGAAGGCCATTCAAGCTCACAATAATAGGCGGCCATTTCATTGCTTATTTCATCACGCAGCCGTGGATTGTGCTGCAAAAATTGCCAGTGGTAGGGATCAAGAAAAACTCTGCTCAACTCTGGCATCTTAAGTTGAGGTCTCTCCTTCCCATACAGAGCTGCATCCAAGGATTCGTAGAATGGATGAACAAGGACTTGCACACCATTGAAGGAATGTTTCTGATTCAAGACAGCATTTAAATCTTTAAAGAAAGTAAGGGGGGGGAAACACAATTATATGAGAGAGCTTCCAATCAGAACACCCTGAAACATGCCAGTATGAGAAACCCATCTGGATAAAACTTAGGAAGGTACAGCAGAGGAAAGACTTCATTTTTACAGTGTTAATTTTCCCCAAAGAACTGAATATATTTGACTAGGCTTCTAAAGATGAGAAAACAATTCACATAAACCCACACAATGAACTCTGTATGGCAAAGGAATCATGAAGGTCACCTCCTTTCTTCATCCAACACAGTCCTTCTCGAAGGGGGCCATATAGCCCCTGGGGGACCCTGGCACATTTCAAGGGGGCCAGAGACTTATTATATTATTCACATACCACCTTATAAGGTTCATTATGCACATTATACAATTCTGATCTGGCCTATATTTATTTCATGTTTATTGCAGTGGCTTAAAAAAGGTTAGGGATGGTTGTTTTAACACACTGCTCCCCATGACACTGCAAGAAAAAAATCACAGTCCAAGTGACAAGCTTCCAACCTCTCTGCCACCCTTTGGGGACCAAGAGGGCTGGGCACCAGTGAACCCTAAACCACTGGGCCAGGACTTGGGAAACTGAAGCCAGAATCTCATTGCTCCAGCCTGAAGATGGTCCTTACTGACCCCAACCCAGGTAGCTCTCACTTCTTTGCCAAGAGAACTGAGTCAATTCTCTTGGCAAAGTCAGGTCACTTCCCTCCTGCTTTCCCTGTACTCCTTCTGCTTTCTGGATGAGGGCCTACCTTATGGATGGAGAACCACAAAATTGTCAGCTTAAACTAAGTGGGTCTTAAACCTCTTATGCATGCAGTCCTGTTGCTTAGCTTCTCTTGCACCTCTCCAGTGGAAACAGATGCCACAAGCAAAGCAGAGCGGTAACAGTAAGACTAGGTTCATGCTTCCCAGGAAGTCGACTGAGCAGAGCTACCATGATTTCTAGAAATCTCTCATGCACTCACATATTTACATATCTTAGGACAAACTCTTACATCTCCACTCCCATTTGTTTACTTCCAACGTTTTTCCCCCCACCGCAAATATCTATTTGGCAGGGGACATGGAATGTTTATGCCATAATTACATATATTTAGCCAGCATGTAACCAACACAGATATTCAGAAGGGAAAAACTGAAGGCACAGAGACAAAAGTGGAGTAATAAGGTAATAAACTTTATCTAACACATTTAGGAAAGGGAAAACACAATATTCATAATAAAACCACAAACTACTAAAAATACACCATAAAATGTACCAAAATACAGTGGGGTCTCAAGTTACGAACGGTTCTACATACGAACTTTTTGACTTACGAACCGCTCTCATGGGAATATATGGACTTGACTTGCGAACTTAGATTCGAGTTACGAACCTATTTTTTTTCCCTTTTTTGTAAATCTAAGGCATCTTAGGTTAAAAGGAAAAAAGAAAAAATATCCCCTCTAGTGGCAGAAAGCGAAATAGCAGCTTCCCATTAGTTTCTATGGACGGAAAAGAGCAGATACGGATTAAATGGTTTTCAATGCATTCCTATGGGAAATGCAGATTCGACCTACGGACTTTTCGACCTGCGAACCGCCTTCCAATACGGATTAAGTTCGTAAGTTGAGACCCCACTGTAGTAAAAAGCAAAAAAGTGGTGGCAGCTCAGGCAATGCCCATGGCACAGGTAAGCAGCACACACCGTCTCTGCCTCACTCTTGTCTATTGATCTGCATCAGTGTGCATATCTCAGGCAAAAGCAACTAACCCCTTTTGAAGAGCCTTACTGGGAAGAGAGACAGAACTCATTGGCTCTAAAGCAAGCTATACTTTGAGGTGATGTTTACTGTACCTCAGTTAAGACATACACATCAACCCCATAATGACTGGAATGTAGATCCTGCCATATCCCAACAAGAAAGAACAGCTAGCACAGAGCTTGGAAGTGATTTGTTAAAAATAAATTCTTTAGTTCATATTCATTAAATTTCACAATTTCCATAAACTTTTTAATAGTTGTAAATACAGTGCCACCGATGGTTTGAGTACCAATTAACCTTCCATGTCACTTTAATTCATTGCTGCGTTGGGCAAGTTAGAAGAAGCTATTTTGCACTACTGATAAAATAATTATAAAAGATTTTAACACTTCAAAGCTATCAATAGCTAACCAGTTTTATTACTGTCAATGAAGAGATTGCCATTAGTTTGGGATTGAACATTTACAAGTTATCTTTAATAGTAATAGCTCTAAACTTTGCTTTAACAATGTATATTACCTTTTGCATCCTGAAAAGTAACCAGAGCGGATTGCTCTTCGGGAACATAAGTGGCATTTAACACCGGCCCACCTCCATGCTTTTTGTTCTCGAAGTAGACAATTATATGGTTTCTAGAGATGCCAGGTGGAATGTTTTCAACCAGAATGCTTTTAGTAATCTCCAGAGAATGCGCAGAAAGATTCAGGTCCTTGCTTCTCTGATATAGATTGAATGCTCTGACAAACTGGTCTATTTCTATGAATAAAATTTTAAAAGTAAACAGTATTAAGCAATGTAATTGAGATGTAATTCTGTACTCACTAAGCCAAAACTACACACTAAAGAAAAAGCAGCAGGATTCCACAGCTGCTCCTGTCATTGCATACTCATTAATTCATTCAATTTTTATGCCATCCATCTAGCACATTGTTACTCTGGGTGGTGTACACAAGAATAAAAGAACAGTTCATAAAGACATATTCTAATATACAAGAGATCAAGAAGACAGATGGCAAAAAAATCATTAATTGGCAAATAAAGATATCCCTTCTTCCTCCTCTGCTCATTCAATGAACTGAGGAGAAACCCCCCCCAAAAAAAGCTTCCTTAAAAAGCTGTTTTTAGTTGTTTTTTAACGGCATGGAGGGAGGGCAGCTGGCATAGCACTTCTGGCAGTGCATTCCACAAAGCAGGAGCCACGTCAGGAAGGGCCTAGCTTCTGGATGTCAGATTCTAGGCATCTCGAGATGATAGTATTTGTAGGCACATGGCCGATGAGGATCTGGTCATAAGGGCAGTCAAACGTAGCAGAAAACATTCAGAAAAGTGGTGATGTCACAAACAGTTTAGAGATTTGTATGTTAGAACCAGCACCATAAATCTGGCAGAGAAGTAGACCAGTAGCTAATGTTGGCTAGTCAAAGACTTGTTTTTCCATGGTCAGTGTTGGATATAAAACCACGCCCAAACGGTGCACCTGATCCTTGAATAGAAGGATAAATCTACCAAGTCTGGGGGAAATACCCCCTAGACAAGTAGATGAATGCCCCAGCAACCTGATCTCCATCTTGTCTAGATCCAGATTCAGCCTTTACTTCCTAGTCTATTCCTGTATTGCAGCCAGGCACTCTTCTAGGCATTGGATGGCATCCACTGCAGATGATTTAATGGAGAGACAGAGCTGTGTATCGTTAACACATTGATGACATGAAAATCCAAAATCTTCTGATGACCTCTCCCACCAGCCTCATATAAATGTTACACAGCATTGGGGAGATGATTTTTCAGTATTTTTCAGGAATGCTTGCAACTCATCCTCCACCATCCTCTCAATAAACAGAATATTTACAAGCTTGAAGTTACTTAGGTCATTTGTTGCTAAATTAACTTTTTTCAGAATAGACCTAATTTCTGGAGGGAAAGGGAGGGAGTTTAGAAAGATAAGGGAAAGGAGGAGGGCAAGCGGCCGGTGGCAGAGGAGGAAGAGGAGGGTGAGGAGGAGGGCAAGCGGCCGAGCGAGCGGCGGAGGAGGAGGGCGAGGAGGGGGGCAAGCGGCTCTCGGCAGCGGGTGGGCGAGCGGGCAGCTGGCTCAGCGGCGTGGGGCGGCGGGCTCTGGTCATTCAGGCATGGCTGGCTCTGCTTCCCTCCCTCCATCTGGACCGACCGACTGACCGCCTGCCTGCCCACCTGCCTTCCTCCCTGGCCGGTGCGGCCCCGCGTCACTTGCGGCGGCAGCTCCTTCTGAAGTGCACCCAGCGTATAAGACGACCCCTCCCACTTGGAGGCATGTTTTTCAGGGCAAAAAAGTCATCTTATATACCGGTAACTGTGCAACAGATTTTTCTAAAAGGATCGATAAGTACAATGGGCCTCGAAGTCTTTGCCCATTAGACTGCACAGGAAACATCTCAAAATTATATTTTGTTTAATTGTATTTATTGTGTTGTAATTTATGACTTTTGATTTTCTCCCGTGTTTTTATTTGCTATTTTGTTACTTTGTTGTTTTATGTTGTTGTAAACCACCTAGAGTGGCCTTGGCTGCCAGAGGGGTGGTATAAAAATCAAATCAATCAATCAATCAGAAAACAACCCACCAGACAAACAATCCCTTACAGTTCCCTTGGAACTTAACCCCACCCATCCAATCCCCCCTTTTCTCCAAAGGATGAAAATGGCTGCCAGAGTCTGGATTCACTAGTTGTAAAAAATTGAAAACACTTGTCAGCAGTTCGATTTCTTGATTAAAGCCCACAGAAGTCTAGAAGGTGGGATCCCTGTAGGCTTCTGGGAACTGTAGTCCACAAAATTAAAAAAAATCCCATGCCCATTGCTAAATATGTCCAGAGGTTTTTTTGGGGAGGGGGAAGTTCTACACTATGATCCCCATAACGTCTGGATCAATATAACTAACTGGCTTGGGCTCTGAGAGATATGCTCTCCTCTCCCCCTCCCCCCACAAAAATTCAAAGCTTTTAGCATAACCAACTTGTTCCTTCTCAAACTGCGAAGGGTACATGGATAGGAATGAGTCAATATGAACAATAAGCTCTGCTCCAGGCAGGAAGCACAGTGTTCAGCCCTAATACCTCCATTTACCTGTTCCCTGACGTGAGTTCTTCGGATTTGCTTGCACTATAGATGGAACCCTACAGATGTATCCCCACAGCCTTCCTATTACCAGAGCACTATTATCCACAAAGGAACAGCATCATCACCATACACTACTGGGCACCTCAATGCTTGGAGACAACATTCCCTTCCCCCCAAATAACCAGCTCTTTAAAAGAACAGCCCACAATGGATTTCTCTCCCAGAATCAATTCTCACTTACCAATGTGCTTGATAAAAGTGATTACCGCTGCATTCCTCTCCGGTACCATTTCCACACTGAACTCCCCCTCCTCTTCTGATAAGTCACTGGTATTCTCTATCAACAAAATAAGCATGCACTGCTCTATGGTTTCTCCCACATTCTCAATCACAACAAGGGATGAAGACATTGGTAGCTGAGCTTGAACCACCGCTGGCTTGTGTTTGCTGACATGAAGTGCAATTTTATTCACGGTGTGATCCTTCCGTTGTAATACTCTTTCGCCGTCTGATTGGAGAAAAAGACAGTGAAAAAACTAACGTTCTCGAAATCTGAATGTACCTTTGCTCAGCCTACAAAATCATATTAAGGCAGCCTTCATATTTCTAGTTCCTCTTATCACAACTTCTCAAAGTACAAGAGGATGGCTTGGAAAAGGAAACATCAATATTAAGTAATCTTAGAATAATTATTATTGTTCTACATTTTTTTAAAATTCAGAGAAAATGTGCTATTTATTACATATTTTAATGTGCTGAATTCAAATATGACAATTAAAACAACTGATTGGCTACAGTTTCCCGGACATGTTTACATTTTACTTCTATGTATATTGTGCAGATAGTAGAATTTCAATCATAAATTGTAAACTTAGCTCTTTTCAAGTGTTTATGGTTGTTTTACATAATAATATTTCACCTGTACTGTTTATATAACACTTTAAAATGAGCATAAGGGTGATATGAATAAAATTTATTATGAAACAAAAGAAAAAAACTATTATGTATGTAGCTTAGTCCTATTCAGTGTCTACTTGGTATTTCTAGGCTGGTCACATTAAATGGGGCATCTCTTGTCACTCTCAAGCAATGGTCTGCAAGCATCTATGGGTTCCGTTTGCCCTGATAGTGTTTCTCCATTGTTGCAATGAAATCACTCACTATGCTTGTCGCTCACTGCTCCAGTTTGGTGGGGGGAAAAATCTAGATGAGTGCAAAAAATGTATATTTAGTGACATGTTGGCACCAAAGCTTTTGGTATGCCTTAAAGAGGTTTTCTATGAACAACCTGTAGTTGTCTGACTTGCTGTTTCCAAGAAAATGTATTGCCACTAACTGGAAGGCTTCCCATCACATATTTCCCTACCATGCAATGTATGGTCAAAGGTATCATCTTGAAGAAGTTCACAAATCTGAGGACCACTACAGACATCTTCTTTGATCTTCACTTAACCTTGCAAATTTCCCAGAGAGGTACCTGAAAGTTGCTTGAGCATAAGGGTTATCCAGGCTTTCTTATCCATACTGGTTATACTGTGCTTTTGAGATGCAAAAGTCACTTCATCAGAAATGTAGAAGTTATCTGCACTGTTCTTACAAGTACAAGGCATCTCTGCTCACTTTTGCTAAACATAAATGTGTCCCTTTGCAAAATCAAACACAGACAAATAAGAACGGACAACACTGTTTGATTTCTACTGTAATTTGTCCAGCAGAATAATATAAGCTTCGTTATGACTGCATCACCCACAACTTCTAGGAATAACATGATGCAATTCATATCCTATATGATGCAATACCAACTTTAGATTGCATCATTCAACGCCAATGAAAATTGTATATAAAAAGCAAGTACTGTCCAAACCCAATCAAAACTCCAGTGAAAATTGTATTTTAGTTATTTCTGGTTTAAATTGAGATCCCTTTATAACTCACTTATCCTCCGCCATTTCCAAGTCAAAGGTTGCATATACTGACCCAATAGTGTATCTTGAAAATTAGAGCCAATCAACAATTTTAAGCATAATTTTCATTCTCATTGACCCAGAATTAGTCAACAATTTTAAGCATAATTTTCATTCTCGTTCTCATTACTAAAGTTTGAGTACATTTATTTCAGAAGAATTTTGACTTCAGACCATTGCTGTTAGAACAGCAGAGCTAGAAAGGACTCTATGAATCAATCCTGTCAAAAAGGCCCTGTATTTGAGTACATTTATTTCAGAAGCATTTTGACTTCAGACCATTGCTCTTAGAACAGCAGAGTTAGAATGGACTCTATGAATCAATCCTGTCAAAGAGGTCCTGTGAGGAATCAAACTCCCAACCTCTGACTTGGCAGCCAGACATCTGAAACAATAAGCTATCCAGTTGTTCCCTCGAAGAGAGAGGTCATTGCCTCACATGATACAAGATGAGCTGTTATTAAGTGTATAAATACATGGATTTCTTGATATTGCAGGTCTCAAGCTACAACCAGGAAACATGTGCCTCCCGCAGGACTCAGCTATGGTCTCCAAGCACTCCATCCCCTTGAATACAACCCTCCTCAAATTTGAAGGCTTTGAGGGGAAGAGTTTTTTTTTTTTTAAAACCTTTCATCTCTAGGGGTAAGGAGCAATTTCGGCATGTTTTGTGGGGTCCCCAGCACCCTTCCTTCCCACACACATCCCATCTTGTTTTTTATTAAAATCCAGTTAATAGAGGCTGAAAGGAGCTTTTTCAGTTAAAAAACAAAACATTTTTTTTCAACAGGTACAACTCGTCCAGTGAGTGGGAGCTACCTTCCCATGTCTAGAGATGGGCATATGTGGCCTTGCCTCCTCTTCTGTTTCCCCACTCCATGCTACAGCCTACTAAGCTTACTGGTTAATCTAGCACTTCTAACTGGAACATTTCCTAAAACTAGAATAATATCAGCTCAAAGGCAAAAGGCAAAGAAAGATGAAGTACATTGTATTCATTTGCCTGGGAGTCTTTGGCTCACTCTTCAGATAAATCCATACAACCATCCCTTCTAAATGACCACTAAGTTTGGGCAGTGGTTCTGCAAAGTTACTCATGTGACCACATGGCCTTTTGATGACACCTTAGAGGTCTTTGGCTCACTCTTCAGATAAATCCATCCCTTCCAATTGACCACTAAGTTTGGGCAGTGGGTCTGGAAAGTTGCTCACGTGACCGCATGGCCTTTTGATGGCACCTTAAGAGTCCAAACTTGTCACCTGTGATGGGTCATCTGTGTTGCAGACTCACTTATATACCGCCCCATAGCGCTACAAGCACTCTCCGGGTGGTTTACAATTTTTTTTTTAATTATACAGGCTACACATTGCCCCCCCAGCAAGCTGGGTACTCATTTTACCGACCTCGGAAGGATGGAAGGCTGAGTCAACCTCAAACTTGTCACCTGTGATGGGTTACCTGTGTTGCAGATTATGCCCCACATCATGGATATCCATTGCACTGTCACACAGAACAGCTCCCACGCTGTTAAGGATTTAAAAGCAACCACATGGCTACAGCACCATAAGGACCAGCCCTCCCTGTACAGAACAATTTTTTCTAGTTTGGGAGAAGAGAAAATAGGAAGATACATTTCAGCCTTTCCAACCAGTAAGCCCTCTTCTGATAAGAGAAGCTTTTTTTAAAAAAATACCTGATTCATTTTCAAAGGTGATGATAAACTGCTGGCCTTCTTTAACACAAGCCTTCACAGGGCCCCCGCCAGCCCGCCTGTTTTCAAAGTACATCACTATGATATCTGTGTCAATTTCCTTTCCTTCAACTGGTATGACCACCACACTAAAGTCCTCCTGAGTTATTTGCTTCTCTGCTCCATTTTCTGGACAGGGTGAAAGAAGTGGAGTGGGAAGGGGAATGAAAAGAGAAAGGATTACTCTCACACTTTTAAGAACAAAGCCCCAAAGAAAAATTAAAACATTCCGTTCTCCAAACCATCAGAATTTAAATCCAGCAAAACGAAAGATGCCAGCTTGATTGTCAAGTGATATGTCCGGCTAGAAAAACTGAAGACCTTTCAGCTAAATTAGCTGTATTACAAGACACCATCCTGCTGCTAAGCTTCTGGCTTCTACAGCTATTGAAAGGCTTCAACTGAGAATCACAATGAAAACAGTGACCTGGCTGAGGAATAAGCACCTCACAGCTCTCCAAATGTTGTTGGACTGCAAGTCCCATCTGCCCTTGTCAGCAACGGTGTCAAGAAATGGGAGTGGCAGTCTAGCAACATTCTGAAGGGACATAAGCTGTCCATCTCTGATGGGTGCTTTGTTCCTTACCAAACCTGCATTTTATTTTATTATGTATTTATTTATTTAAGCGAGCAAGTTTTCCCTCCTTTCCTTAATTACCCCACATGAAAGAATGTAACAAACCTTATTATTCATAACTGGCCACAGAAGTTACAAAGACAAAATCAACACCAGGAATACCTCCTGGTCGACACTCTAGGAACTGCACTTTCGACTAGACAAGAGAAAGATTAGGAGAGGGCTGTGCCACCTGCAGTTCTCACAGGAGTGACCCAAATATGCACAGAGCTAACTCCTATTAAGGTCTGCTTGTGGTATTACATTTCTACACCCACATAAAAGCATGTGACTAGTTTGGAAGACTGGTTCTCATTCCAGTCGTTTTTGCTATTCATAGACACATTTAAAGCTCAGGTTCTGCATCTGCTTCTAGACACGGGTACTTGCAAAACCACCAGGACACCAAAATTGTACCCAGAACGTGTTGCACTGCCGCAGATTGCCACCAAACACAGTGTAGAGAGCCGGAAGACTAAGAGAAAGGACTTCCCTAGAAATATTAAGAATTGGACAGGTTTTTAAAGGAAATAATCTCTAGACTTCCAAACACTCTAGTCCCAAATCACAGAAATATGCTGGACGGTGAGTTTGAAGCCCCTAGGAACGCATTAATCTGGTTTTAATGCTTTTCTATGGGCTTTTTAAAATCACATCACGACATTTTCGTTCTACAGCGATTTCGCTGGAATGAATTAACGTCGTGATGCGAGGCACCACTGTATTCATAACTGGCCACAGACAATATCAACACCAGGAATACCTCCTGGTTGACACTCTAGGAACTGCACTTTCGACTAGACAAGAGAAAGATTAGGAGAGGGCTGTGCCACCTGCAGTTCTCACAGGAGTGACCCAAATATGCACAGAGCTAACTCCTATTAAGGTCTGCTTGTGGTATTACATTTCTACACCCACATAAAAGCATGTGACTAGTTTGGAAGACTGGTTCTCATTCCAGTCGTTTTTGCTATTCATAGACACATTTAAAGCTCAGGTTCTGCATCTGCTTCTAGACACGGGTACTTGCAAAACCACCAGGATACCAAAATTGTACACAAAACGTGTTGCACTGCAGCAGATTGCCACCAAACACAGTGTAGAGAGCCGGAAGACTAGGAGAAAGGACTTCCCTAGAAATATTAAGAATTGGACAGGTTTTTAAAGGAAATACTCTCTAGACTTCCAAACACTCTAGTCCCAAATCACAGAAATATTGCTAGGCATGTACGTATACCTTTACAAAAGAGAAAAAAGAAAATGGGACACTGGATTACTTTTGTGAAAATCCATTCTGTTTTGTGGGAAAGGAGACATCCAGACATTTCTTGGCCCCGTTGAAGCAGGAGGAGTGAATGTGAAAAGGCTTAATGGTTATACTCCACACGTTCTTCCCAGTTTCCTTCCCCAGCCTAGCTAAAGGAAGGAGGAGATTGATGGGAATGTCAGTCAAAGGTGATAGTGGATTGAGGCAATGATGAAATCAGCCACTGATTAGGTGGGTCTGTATTTCTCCTTCTGTGCAGACCAGAATGGACCTTCACAGAGGTAAGCCAATGTCCCATTCTCAGTCAGTGGGAAGGAGCCACCCAGGACCTCTTTAAACAAATCCTAGGTCTATAGGGAGGACGGTGACTGACCCCTCAGTTGGAATCTACTTGATGAAGCATCCATCTCTCAAAGGCAGCAGCTGCTGAAGCATATTTGTCAATCTTATCATGTCTTATAAATGTGGAATAGTGAGCCTATGTAGCTGCTCTGAAATTCTCTTCCAGTAGAGTATCTGCTATGAAGGCTGCAGAGTTAGCTGCTGCTCTTGTGGAGTGGGCACTGATGTGGCCAGGTTTACAAAGATGAGAGATCAACTATTCAAGCTTTAATCCACCTGGACAAAACAGAAGGGGAGATCTTTTTTTCTCAAAAACGTGGGAAGGAAGGACAGAAAGAAAGAGAGAGCTACATTTCTTGAAGCATCAGAAGGGGAGATCTTTTTTTCTCAAAAACATGGGAAGGAAGGACAGAAAGAGAGAGCTACATTTCTTGAAGAACACCATTCTTGACTGCTCTTCTAACATCCAAGTCTGTGTCATTCCTTTTCTAAAGGATGACTCAGGTTGGGACAGAAAGAAGGCAGTATAATCTAAGAAAGGCCATACTAGATTTAGGAATGAAGGAATGGTCAGTACGGAGAATTGGTGTCAAGAGTAAAGAAGCATATGTGTTTATCAATAGAAAGAGAAGGGAGTTCAGAAATTCTGTGAGCTGAAGTAACAACAACAAGGAAGACCACCTTGAGGGAAAGAAGTCGAAGAGAGACAGAGTGTAAGGATTCAAAGATGGATTAGTGAGGTCCTTGAGAAGCACTTTTAGTCTCCATAAAGGAAATCTATGTATAACCAGTGGTTGAATTGTACAAAATACTCAGCTAAACTTCTTCAATTCTGGGGTCCAGAACTATGTCCTGTCAATCTCCATGCAGCTAGTCTGGACCAGGCTGGATCTGCGTGAAGAAGAGGTCCCTGGGTGAGTAGGTTGGGGGAGACTGGGAGAAACCATGGATGAGGCCAGACAGTAGCCACTAAAACTACTGTGGCCTGTTCTAGTCTGATCTTCCAAGAGCACTTTTGGTAACACTTTTCACTTTACATGAAAAAGCATAATGTTGATCTGGAAGCCGTGCGCTATTGAGAGCATCCTGGGCTTCTCTACTGGTGTGTAAAATCTGGACAAGAACCTCAGAAGCTTGACATTTTTTGGAGTGGCGAACAGGTCTATTAAACATGCCCCCAAATGGTCCAGTATCTGACTGAATTCTGAAGTGCTCAGGCTCCACTCTCCTGGCCTTCTTGTGTATCTGCTCAGATAGTCTGCCATGATGTTGAATGTGCTGGGTGGACAGGGACAGAGGACGAGCTTCTGCCCAATGAAAGGCAACCTTTGCCTCGTTGTGGGCTGCTTGATTCTTCTTGCTTGTTCAAGAATGCCTTCACCACAATACTGTCTGTTCTGTTCAGGATGTTGCTGTTGTACATTGGAAATGAACCGGTTGAACAGCGTGGACCTCAAGCTAATTTACTGAATGGGCCTTTTCTGATTTCATCCAGGTCACTTGGACTATGAAACCAAGACAGTGGGCTCTCCACTGTAGTTCATGCTATTCTCTGAAGCTTCTGTAAGGAGACTCTGTTGCAGAGACTGGCAGTATTTGTCCAATGGAGCAGAGAGGTTCTGAGTGGGGGAAGCAGGGAGAGGACCAGAGACCTTTTCCTGGAGACGTTCAATTCATATGGCTGGAGAAAGTACTGGAGGGGACGTGAGTGAAAATGTTCCCACGGGACTAAGGGGAGGCAAGATATCATCAGATCCAGCAAATGAGCTAGGGACATAAGAGAGGTAGACGTCTTGTGTGCAAAGAACTTTGCATCCCTTCAGATTTTCAGGGCTGGAAAGACCATTGCCAACTGAGGATCTAGTAAGGCACCTAGATGGAATAAATGTAACCCTCATGTGTAAAGAAAGAAGGAAAACCTCCTTTTGATTTGTCTTTTATCATCTTTGTGTGGGGGTGGGGGTGTTTGGCATTGCCTTCTTTTTATATTTGGTCTCCACTAGCACATCTTTGAAGGCTTGGTCCCTCAAAAGGTGTTTCTCTCTGTGGGGGACCGTAGCCAAACTGGAAGATGCAGCTGCATTCCAGGGCTTGATCTATGGGGCTCTTGTGATGCCACTGTGGCTCCATCACCTGAATGGTATGCTTCTGGGCAAGAGAAGTGCTTTTCTTACCATGAAGTGGAATTTCCCATTCTGCCTTTACCAGTATGCCACAAAGAACACTGGGAGAGGAGCCTCTCTGCAAGATGTTTTTTCCTCAGGGAACACAGATGCACCACAAGCTGAATTCTCAGGCACTGTATTGGTGGGTGTTTGGTCAGAGAGACTGGAGTGCTGGAACCTCAGAGTAGACAGCACCTTGGTTAACAATGGGAGAAAATTATCGGAGCTGAATAAACAATTTCTGGCAAGTCCTTCCTGCTGAGCAGTCTGATCACTCAGACTGGGCAGAGGAGGGAACCACTTCTCTGTCTATTAACACATTCCTTTTCTCCATATGAGGAGAGAGAGGCACTTTCTACTTTATCAGGAGAGGACGGTGGCAGGAAAGAAGGCGCTCAAGTAGAACTAGCCAGAAGACTGGCATGCTTCCTTTTCTCCAATGCTGATGCTGTAACTGCAGCTTCAGGAGGGCATATATGACTTCGAACTTTCCTGGAAGTAGGTTGGCAGAACTGCAATGTGCCCTGAATCTCCCCCAGAACTGGAGCTTTGAACTTGTTAACGAAAGAGTCTATATTAAAGAGGAGCATCTGAAACATTGCTGGAAGCAACCAAAGCTGGAAACAAGGCAGTTCAAAATGGCTGCCATGAAATGGACCTACAAATTGCCGCTGCCCTCAGAATGCCTCATGAGCTGGGGAGGCGCTCTCTGGAATTTGTTTGTTTGTTTGTTTGTTTTGGAGGAAGTGCATGTAGAAATGTCAGCCTTTTTCTTTTGAAAATGGCTCGCCCCCCGGTTTTGGCAGAAAATAGCCTCGGCCTCTTCAACTCCAGGGCACTGCAAATTTTTGTGCTGCTGTTCCACATCCTCTGCATTGATGACTTCAACTCCTTGCTTGCCACCAACATGGAAAAGGTTTGGGACTGAGCCTGAGGTACAAGAGGTATCTTGAAGCACTTCCTGCCCACCAATGCAGATGTTTCGGAGCTGAGCCTGAGGAGCAAGACTCCTTTCCACAGAAGTCTGAATTAATTTTCCCTTCTGATGCCACTGCTGTATTGACCGGGATTATACCAGTTTTTTTCACCTCAGTCTAACACTAGCTGAAGTGGTGAAGGGTGACCCCAGACCATACAAAACCTCAAGAGGCAATACTGCAGGAATGGTGTGGTGATCCAGAAAATGAAACCCACTGCCCACCACCAACACAGCTGGAGAGAGAAGCCACATGGATGCGTGTCGCAAGTGATTTACCCACTGAGGAAAAAAGGAAGGGTTAAAAAAAGAGAGAAAAAAAGCTCAAAGGAATATAGTGGAGATGTATAGGAGGAGTGAATACCTCTTTTTTTAAAAAAAGAGAAAACAAAAATGAGAAATTTGAAAGAAAGGAATATTACAGAAGACCCCAAAGATGAAGTGAGATATCAAAGGCCAAAAAAAGGAGAAAGCAAGAAGTAAGGCAAAGACAGAAGAAGTAAACTGGGAGAAGCATGACTATTAAGTCTTTTCCAATTCACTTCTTCTGTCTGGACTGGGCTGAGAAAGGAACTAACCTTTTCCTGGATGCCTCCTTCCCATAGGCCAAGAAAAGAAATTTGCAATCTCACCTCATATCAATGTTAAATTCTTGGCTTGCACATTAAAAGCATCAGTGGAGGCCATTTCAGTCCTCCAGATTCCCAAGAGAAGGAAGACAGTGGAAGGGAAGACTCCTAGCTACGTTCTGAGGGGGTTGTGGTGAGCCAAATGTGGGGAGGGGTACAAGCCATGTTAGGCCTTCAGTTTGCAGTTCCCCTGGACTGACTTACTGCATGTCCCTAAACAAGCTTACTCTGAATGCAGAACTAAAGACTTCCACAGAAGTTAATCCTCACTATCTTAGTTCCAAGAATGGTTATATAATTGTAAAGCCAAAAATCCTACTGTTGTTTGCATGAGGTGTTCACAACTTGCTCCAGATAATTGTGGCTAATCAATGAGGTGCTGGGGTGCATCTCAGTTGTACAGTTGGGATTGTGACAGGGCAAGCAACTGGAATGCAGCTCCACACTTCATTAATTAACCAGGGCAGGTCACACAAACTTTGCACAAACGTCTAAAAGATTTTGCCCTAACTGTCACTGAAAGCAGCATGAGCTTTTATGCAGAATGTGATTAAGACTTAACATTTGGAAGATATATTCTATATTTCCCATTAAGAATACGTCTGCAAGCCTTGCAAAAAATGTATGTTTCATCGCAGCTTACCAGGATGATTTAAAACAATGTTACCTGGCTGTTGAGGTTCTTCACCTTCAGTGGATTCCTATAAGACAACAGTGCCTCATTAGATGTCACTGTTCCTTCCAAAGGTACAAATTAGCTACAGTCAGACAAATTAGCTACAGTCAGATAGCAACCTGCCTGGTCCCCTCTCCTCCTCCAGCCCAGCTACAAGAGGGTTCAAAGGCTTTTGCTTCTATTTTCCATTAAGCTTTGATTAATTGGCTTCATGAACCATAATTGGAACATGGCTAGTTTCAAACAAAACACAGCTAATATTATTCATATTTTGTCAGTCCAGGTAATGCTACAAGCTAGGGGCAAAGAAACATGAAAGTGAAATATTCCAAGCTTTTCTCTACAAGCTCCAGCAAAGGAGGAGGGAAGGGATATAAGCCTGAGGCCTGTTGTGGCTTTTCCTCCCCATGTTAAACCAAGGTTTCATGTGACCTCCAAACAAATTATTGTTCTTAGCTTCTTCTTCGAACTCTTCCACAGTGCAGTCTGCCCCAGGGAGGTCATGTATCTTGAAAACACAGGACTGCAACTTTAATCACATGATGCACATACCTACCTGAGTCTAAGGGTCAATCAACAGTGTGAGATTTTTTTAATAACCATCCTTATAACTGGAATGGTAATTTCCAAACTTTGCACACTCCTCTCCTCCTCCTCCTCTTTGGCTGTTTGACGAATCTCTGGCAGGAGCAGAGGGTTCCCTGCCCTGCCTCCTTGGCTGAGCACCCACTCAGACAAGGAGGCAGGACAGGCAAACCTATGCTTCTGCCTGGGAATGGTTGAACAGCTGAAGAGGAGGAGAGGAGCATGGTCTGACTGGTTACCGGGTCACTGGCTGGGGAGGCGGTGGAAGGGAGCATGCAGCATCTCTGGCGCCACATGTACAAACCAGCACCAACTGCCAAACTGAGGTTTGTGCCCATCTGTAGTCTCTGCTGCTCCTAATATCCTTTCTGAGAAACTGCACTTTAATTCCAAGGATTCTCTGGAATGCTTTCTCAGAAATAAAATACCATGAGTAATATTTGAAAAGCATGTCTATGTCTTAACAAAAATAGCACCTAATCAATATATGGAAGGCCAGCCACCATAATCCCTAGACAGTGGGGCCAATTCTCCACTCATGCTGATGGGAGTAGTAGCGCCAGCTCGACATGATGGCAGTTACAACTGAAAATATCTGGAGGCCATCAGGTTGGGGAAGGTTGACCTAGACAAAGGGTGCACAACATTTTGCCTCTAGCATTGGCTGAGCAGGGAGAGAGGAGGGAAGGAAGACCATTGGCATGTGAACACACAAATGAACAAATGCACCTCAGTCCATCAAAAGATAAGGCAGCCTCTTCTGAAAAATACAGGCACTCCTCACTTAATGACCAAGTTCTGTTCCTACAACTAGGTCGATAAGCAAAGTGGTCAATAAGCGAGGAGCAACAATACTGCATATAGAAGTAATAAACAACATGCTGTCAAGAAGGGCATGGTGAAGATGCAAGCACACATTTCCAAGGGTTACAAAGGATCAGAAATCTGAGGGGGGTCTTCAGACAGGTAGGTCATTAAGTGAGGGGTTTCTGTAGTTTCTACCATCATGATAGCTCATTTCTGACCCTACTATTACAGTAATTGCTTCTGCACTGATGTACCCACAGAAGATCCAAGAGAACTCACATTTTCCATGGCAATTAACTGTCACAGCAACTGGAATGTAGTGCATAGCGGAAGATCTAGGTCATGCAAATCTGTAAGGAGTGGAATGGTATGTTTACACGCACCTGCTTTGGAGGATGTGCTTCTCTTGAGGGCTCATTCTCAACTGTTGCTGCTACTGGAGGTAGGGAAACAGCAAGCCTTATTTTTTTCCCTCCTGACACATCAAGTTCATGAGTCTTTCTGTTCAGGACACTCTGTCTCACTAAAATGCAAAACAGGAAACCATAATGAAAAGTAAGTAGATCTTAGACCTTCTGGTATAGAACAAACACAACACAAATGAAGCTGCCTTAGAGCAACTGCTGCTCTTGACACCCTTCTAGCTCAGTATCATCCATAACCTGACAGCACCTTTCCAAGGTATCAAACAATAGGTTTTCCCACCCAACTTCTACTGGCTGAAATCCAGCAGTAAGCTGCAACTAGAGTAGGCCTATTGAATCACTAGGAATTTGATGAGCCAACTCCTCTAAGTTCTATTGATTCAACAGGCCTACTCTATTTCCAACTTATTTCTGAATGTTGGCCAATAATTGGATAATTAAAAGCCTGCTGTTTAGAGTCACAGTTAAAGCTACGTCATGTTGGTTCCAGGTTCACAAAGCTAAGAAATTAAAAGCAAAGGCTGATAGATTAAAGTATGTGCCACATGATCAGGGATGATAGTGTATCATGTCACAAATTGTGCTTCCTTACAACTGTACACAATTCCACTTTGTTTTGGTCTTTCAAGCCCAAATATAAGGGAGTATTGTGGAATATCCTGGTCCAGCATTGCCTTATGAAGTAGCTGAATTTTACCACATATTGCTAGAGCAAGCACTTCTCCTATGAGCTGATGACATGCATATTTATAGCTGACACCAACAGCTGACAGGAAAGCTCCAAAACTGGGAGATGCAAAACCAGCAACCTAAGAAAAAAAGAAACAAAATATCCCCCTCTAGTGGTCGAAGGCAGAATAGCAGCTTCCCATTAGTTTCTATGGACGGAAAAGAGCAGATACGGATCAAATGGTTTTCAATGCATTCCTATGGGAAATGCAGATTTGACCTGAGAACTTTTTGACTTGAGAACCACCTTCCAATACGGATTAAGTTCTCAAGTCAAGACCCCACTGTATAGGGAGATACGGTCCTTCAGGCAGCCTGGACCCAAGCTGTTTAGGGCTTTATAGGTACTGACCAGCACTTTGATTTGGGCCCGGAAACGGACTTGTAGCCAGCACCGTTCTTGTAACAGGCGTGTTATATGCTCCCTGTAGTTGGCCCCAGACAGTAGTTTGGATGTAGAATTTTGCAACAGCTGAAGTTTCCCAACTGTCTTCAAAGGCAGCCCCACATAGAGCATGTTACAGTAATCCAAACGGGATGTAACTAAGGCATGTGTCACTGTAGCTAGATCCGACAGTTGGTGCACCAGCTTTAGCTGTGCAAGTGCACTCCTGGGCACTGCCAAGACCTGGGCATCCAAGATTAGACATGAATCCAGAAGCACATCCAGACTTACAGTTCA